TCAAGCCCATTGCCAGCCTATTGAAAGGGGTGGTTCTTTTTTCCAGGTGGACCTTCTTGCAGTTATTTTTCCTATTTTCTATTTAATCAAAAGGTATAAATACTGAATTTTAGAGACATTTTAAGCACTGTTTTTTGCTGGATCAGTCAGTCAGAAGGTGATCATATAACCACACTTTGTGATTTACTAAAACAGGGGTGAACAAACTGAGTCCTGGAGGCCCAGTGTCCTGCATAGTTTAGGTCCAACTCCCTTCAACACAATCTGTCTGGAAGTTTCTAGTATACCTAGAAAGAGTTTGATTAACTGGTTCAGCTGTGTGTCTGATTGGGGTTGGAACTAAACTTTGCAGGACACTGACCTCCAGGACAGAGTTTGGACATTATTAAAAAAATAAAAAATAAATAAACTATCATATAAATATATGAAGCTGACCATCTTATTATATATAAAAACTGACCACCTCATTCAACTTTCCTCAGAAAGTCAACTTAAATAATTAAAAAATGGTCCTAAAGCCTTCTTCTATCTGTAATTTTCAAGATTTAGTTGGCATAGCAGTCAAAAATGGGACAAACGAGCACATGTAAAAGCCAATTCCTGGACTTTGTGAGTGGGGGGTAGGTCATTCCAACCACCTGAACCACCCCTGGCTGCAGGCCTGCTGTCTATTCTTTATGTCTTAATTTCAATGTGAATTTTGACAATTAGCTTACTGTGTTGACGTCGCTCATTAACTGACTAATCTCATTTACTCACATAATTTATGGTCTCAGTTTCAACTTATATCACATTACATATCCATAAATGATCTTATAATTATGACTGACATTGAAATTACCTCACAATTATAACTATCATAAGTGTCTCTATGTCTCTATCTCTAACTATTATAACTATCATAACTTGTCATAATATCAAGTGTTTGACATAAACATAAAAATTAAATAATTAACTGAAATTATCTCATAACTGTAATTTGAACCTTTCTTGTATTATAAATTGTCACACGACTAAAAAATGAACATGCAAAACTGTATGCAAAGAACATGTGCAGTTTTATATTACTCAGATTGGTGTGATTCCCCTCCTGTATAATGCACACAAATATACTATCAGCCTGGAGCTTCTTGCAGGCGTTAGGCTTATTAAAAAAAAAACAACTAAATATTTTCTAGCTTAACTGTGTGTCAAAAAAGTCAACTCAAGGTGGCAGAAAGAAGAGAAAAAGGTGCCAGCACCAATTAACGGCTCTTTATTTTAATTAGCCTTGCATTGTCGACGACAACACCTGAATTATGCAAATGAAGCTGCTTGCTTAATATTCCTTCAGAGTTCCTTTGACACAATTTTGTTTTTCCCCTTTCTCCCTTCAGCTATATCCTCTCCTGATGAGTCATGATTATTACAGGCGAGTTTGTTCCACCTGATTAAGCGCTAAGCAATGGTAGGCACTTATTTGCTTATTTAAAGGAGAGAAAGGTGGACAGACCGCTGAGATAAAGATGCTACGCAAGTCACGGACTGCTAAAGGGTGGCTTGCAGCTGCTGTACCGCAGCCTGGACCACAGAACTGCTTTGCATAATTGACTTCACACTTCACAAAATAGATTCCCGCTCTGTAACAGTTACAGTCACAAGACCGCATCACACAAGACTGAGAACAAGAAATGGACAGCCTTTTGTTTCATCTCCCAACTCATGTTTTTCTAAACCATGGAAACAAGGGAATGACATCTAATCGACAATTCTCGATGATGCTCAGGCTGAAGTTTTCACAGCCAGGAGACAAAACATGTTTGATTTTGAAGGTAAATGCTACAACCTCAATTTTGAAAATGTTCCAATCTTTTGTAAAATTATGCAGAATCAATGTATTTTGGTCATTCTCTTTGACTTGTTGTAGTGCGGACAAGATTTCCAAAGTTTTCACTGACCATAACAATGTATTCTGCAAATATATACGATTGGTCATTTATATTTTGATAGCTGCAACACACTCCAAACAAGTTGGTATTCATGCTGCCACATCAACTTTCTTGTTTTAATTACAACATTAGTGTGCTCTGGAATTGAGGGTACGAATCGTTAAGGTTTTACAAGCTAGCTTATTAAATCTGACACGATAAAAGACTTTAGCTGCTCAATGGTCAGCAGTCGTTGATATGACCCCAATTTTCATGATTAGCCACAGATATTTAATTGGATACAGATCAGGGCTGCAGGCGGGCCAGTCTAGCACAGCACATTCACTCTGGCTGATGCAGCACATGCAGAATGAGAATTGATCGAATAACTGTAGACTTTCAATGAAAGACCTCATCTTGAAGACAATGTATAGTTTAAATGGTACAGTTGCACATATGTTTGTCACTCATGCTATTTCCAGTGTCCTGCTTTGCCCTAAACAGACTGAGATTCCTCTAGATTTCTTGAATCATTTCATTATGCAGTTAATGGAAAACCAATTTTTTTTTATGATTAGCCACAGATATTTAATTGGATACAGGTCAGGACTGCAGGCAGGGCAGTCCGGCCAATCCACTCTGGCTGAAGCAGCACATGCAGAATGAGATTTGATAGAATAACTTTAGACTTTCATTGAAAGACATCATTCTGATGACTATATATGATTTAAATGGTACTGCTGTGCATATGCTAGTCACACAGGCTATTTACGGTTTCTAGTTTGCCCTAAACAGACTGAGATTTAGGGTCTACTCACACTATGCTATTCTAACCATGCCCAGGCCCGTTTCCTGGATCATTTGAGAAGTGTGAGTGCTCTGAATCGGGCTCATTTATACGGCATCTGAAAGGTGAATAAAAAAGCTTTTAAATACTGAAAAAAAGTTACAATACATATTACAGATTCACATAAATGTATTCACTAATGTCTTCATGGAACATTACCTTTACTTAATATTTTAATGAGCTTTGTCATAAAATAAAAATCCATCATTTAAACCAGGGGTGCCCAAACGTTGTCTTATAAAGAGCCAAAATCCAAATTTAATTGAAGGCTACGGGGTGAAGTTAAATATACCAAACCGTATTACATTAAATTTGTTTGCTTAATATTTGAAAATAAATAGAAAAGGTTGCTTTACAACAAATGAAATGATAATGCAGTATTTATTTTTTTTACATTTTAACGATAAACTTATAATAGTAAAAACATAAATTGAGCTCAATACTGAATACACTAGTCGAGCTGCTCCTGCTTTTGCCTGGGTTTTCTCACCGGTCTTGTGCATTTGTCCTCTATCTGTCAAGTGTCAGTATTTAAAATTTTGAAAGTCAGATTTATATGAAACATTTTATTTTAGTTTGCTTTTTTATAGCTCCTCAATTAAACATTGAAACAAAAGGGTTTATATTAAATTTAAAATGTTGATCTCTGTCAAAAGCCTACGCCCCAATCTACCCATCATTCTCTCTCATTTGAGATGCGATGGCGGGCCAAACCAAAGGGTACCATGGGCCAAATTTGTCCAGCGGGCCCAGCTTTAGACACCTCTGATTCAGACACTACAATGTATTTTCCTCTTATTCTAAAAAACGGACGCATGCAACATAAGAATTACAAAGCATTTTGTGATCCAGGGTCACATATTTACAAATTCCTTGTACGTGAATGTGTGAAAACACTAGAAATATTTCCATTGTGTTTTGGTCAATTGAAAAACAAGATAATTAACAAATAGTTCTGAGTCCTGATTTGTAATGTATTAAAAAAAAAGCTCGACTTTTTGTTCTGAATTGAGGTTGTAGAATCTATATAGATAATTTGACTGTACACAAAAAGAAAATGCTATGCAGACAAACAAAGGAACTGATTTAAGACTGCATTATCCCCTCCATCCTCTATAACAGGGGCCATTACAAACTTAAGGTACAGTAGAGTCTAACACACATGATCACATTCATAGTGGATATTTTTTTTAATGAAAATGTAAAGTAGACAGTACTATAATGATAGAAGAGAATGAATGAAAGGCTTGATTCTTCCAAATATGAACACCCTTATCTCTTTCTTGTGTCCTCGTTCTATTCATCTATGATCCCTCCCAGTCCCTCTTTCTCTCTGTCTCCCCCCACCTGCACTCAGAGCAGTCTGTGAGTCAGCATACAACACACACTCATACACACACTGGTCAGTCCGTTTCCATGGTGACGGTGCAAGCTGAGGGCAAAATCGACAGCTTTTAAGAAGCGCAGACGCTGCTAGAATTTAAATGGTCGGCAGCGGTAGGAAAGGCTGCATGAGTGTGTGTCTTTTTTTGGGCCCAGATTAGCTGCCGGCATACAAGGAGCCAATCGAATAGTACAAAAAAAAAAAAAAAAACGTAACAAGAGCTTTGACAACTATCCCTTGATCCTATTCCTCGAATCTAATGAATGGACCAGGAAAAAATAGGATTGGATTGATAGGACCTGTACAATACAACTCACTTTCCTCTAGGGTCACTGGGACATAGTAAACTAGCACTGCTTAAATCCTTTCAAAACATGATTTGGTTCCTGTGATGTGCGGCATGGATGAGAGAAGCAAAAACACATATGAAACACAAAGATGAATGCATTTGTAATGCTAAATGACTCAGTGTTTGGCTCCGTCCCAAAGGAGCAAAGGTGTGAATGTGGTATATTAATTGTATTAACACATTTATCTCATAGGACTGACATTTTGGCATTTTGTGAATGCTATAAAAGTAAGCGTCCTGAAAAGAAAAGAGAAGAAAATCTATCTATTTGTCGAGCTATCGACTCCACCTTGACCTGTGCTCAATGGAACTGACAAAAGTTATTATTATCATTTGTAAAAGTAGACATTTTCATGGTGGCCGTCGATAAATGTGGATAAAATGTGGTATTTTCAGAAGGGCAATGTCATAAATAAATATGGGAAAATGGAAATTAAATACTGTACCTTAAGAATTCATGTCCCCTGATGAGTTATTTCAATGGTTCTGCTTAACATTAAGATCACAATGTGACTCCTTCACAAAAGTTTTATTGAAAGCCAACTTGCTTTGCTTGTAAAAAATACAAAATGCAATCCAAACATAAACAAAAGAACACAGAACACATGACAGAAATTAAACAGAAGTGGGGATGTCTGCAGCTTTAAACAGTTCCACAGAGAACGCAAATAGTCATGTTATATTCAACTTGTATGCATTTGCTGCATTAATATATAAACTAGCCGCTACTGCAGGACATCCTTCAAACATTGCATCTTTCCATATTAACATCACAAGTGAATATTGCTTTAAATATGAACAAACGTCTTCCTTGCAACCAGGCCTCAACTGTACAAAAACGCCACTTTCAAAGCGGCTGGTTAGTCCTAAACTGTACAAATTTTGGTATCAAAAATGTTAAGAACGTATTAAGTAAAACTTTTTTTCTATATAAAGCTATTTAAGATGTTCATCGCCGAGAACAAAAACAGCATTTGGGATGAACACACACAACAGCACAAATAACTGATTATTAACATTCACAATATACAACTTGCATAACAAAACAAAAACTCTCCAGTGATTGTCTTTAAAGGTCTGCTAATAAAGTCAGAGATAAACTGTACTAATTTTTGGTTTTCTTGTTCAGTACTGGAGCACAAAAAAAAAAAAAAAAAAAAAAAGTATTATCAAGTTTTAATGTCAAGTAGCTGTCTGACATTATTCACAGCCTGGCAGAAAATCCTGCGTTTAATAATTCAAAACTGTTCGATGGCACACTTAGACATCGGTAGCTGATTATGAATTTAAATGAAGTCATTTCACTTATGAACATAACAAAAAAAAGAAGGCTCTCCTTGCATGTGTAATCAATAAAGATAAAAAACGAACAGGGAAATTACCTGCCATTAATCTGAATAAATAATTCCCTTGATCTTGGACTAAACAAGTTGCAAATAATTAAAGACATTTTGAAAGGCCTGTCAAAATATGCCATGGTAATTTTTCGAATGCGTTCACCTTACTCGACTGGCCTCGCTGTGTGTTTTATTCTATTCAGCATTTATTCTGTTCTTTTTTTGTTTTTGTATGCAAAAAAATTTTAAGCTTTCTAGGAAAAATTCACACATTAATAGCCTGAAGCTTGCCTAACAGAAGATAACAAAACAATGGCAGGATGATTTGTCTTTTAGAGCAAAACTCAAAGTATAAGGCACATCTCTCTGGTCGTAAGGTTATTATCACACACACATTGACTTTAAAATACTCCTAAAGCAGTTCTGTTCATCTTTTAAGTGGCAGGAAAAAACACTGTTAAACTGAAAACGGCAAACAGAAATAATAAAATAAAATAAAATAAAATAGGACAGTGTGATGTTGTCTCCTTCATTTAAATCAGTGATGTGTTATGTTTCCTTCAGAGCATACTACAGAACTGAAAGCAAAACAAAAGGTTGACAAATAAAACAATCAAGTGACGTGCATGCTTTGTGATCAGTGCAGCTTTGGTTTGACATTCATTCAGTTCCAGCCCCTAATACATGTCATCAGTCCACACCACGTTGCTGTGATACCCGTTGCTTTGATACCCTGTGCTGTGGTACCTAGGGCTGTAGTAGCCTGAGCTCTGGTACCCTGAGCTTTGGTACCCTGAGCTGGGGTACCCTGAGCTGTGGTACCCTGGGCTGTGGTACCCTGCCATGCTTTCGAAGTCGTCTCCTACCTGTTTGGTGCTATATTTCGAAGAGTTGGCCTTGTAGCTGTAATCCGAATACTGGTCTGAGCCCGTTGAGTTGTTGTCCCCGGTTCCTACAAAGGTGTTGGTGGCTGGCAGGTCCTGCACTGCCTGGTGTTTCTTTGAGGCAGATGGTGATTGAGGTTGGAGCTGAATGGATGGCAGAGGAGAATTAGACCGATAGTGTCGCCCTAGGTCTGGGCTCCCGGGAGGGTAGTTGAGTGGCAGGTGAATCCTAGGGCTATCGTTGACATTTTCATTCATGAGATTGAACTTTAGGCCTTTCTGAAGAGTTCCCCCCTCATCCTCCTCAGAAGGGTTGGCAGGCTTTGGCGCTTTACTTTTCTTTGCCTTTTTGTTCTTGTTGCTCTTAGGTCCTGGTTTGGGGGCATATAGGTCTTTGGTCTCTTTTTTGCCTGCCTGGTAGCCACTTTTGTTCTCCTTCAGTACAAGATGCCTGATGATCATGGCCACCACAATGATGAGAATGACCACAGAAAAGCCACCCAAGACTGCAAAGAGAATGTTACTGTGTGGGTCTCGAGAATAATCTGGATCACCTGCAATGTCCATTTCAAGTGGTGTATAAAGACTGTGACCAACAAGTCCTTCAACGTGAGAAACATTGCCAATGGTCTCATTGACATAGATGTGTACCAGTGCAGTCGTTTGGCGTGGTGGCGTGCCTTTGTCCTTAACTTTTACAACCAGTCGGTGGAGACCAATGTGTTTGGGTGTGAACTCTTTAGCCAACGTAATCTCACCTTCCGAGGAGATGCGGAACAAGCCATGAGGGTTACCCCCCACAATATTGAAGTCCAGCTCAGAATTTAAACCAATGTCAATGTCTTCTGCCTCAACGCTTTCTACGTGGGTTTCTGGGCTGGTGCGGGGATCCAAGAACTTGTATGAGGAGTTTGCGGGTTTGGTTACATAGGGAGCATTGTCGTTCTCATCAAGAACATTAATAGTAATGCCAACGTAGGAGGAGCGTGGTGGGTCACCTCCATCAACAGCTTTCAATCGGAAACTGTAGGTGCTCTCCTTTTCCCTGTCAAAGGAAATAGTCGAGAGGATGGTGTACGTTCCATTTTGAATCATAAACTTTCCATTGTCTGGTTCTACAGAAAGTTGAACACGAGCATTTTCACCTTCATCGTGATCATTGACTGTTACCATTCCAACAGGACTAAGTGGTGGCATGTTCTCTTGGACTGAAAAACTATAACCATTCAGCATAAATTTAGGGTCATTGTCATTCCTGTCAAGCACCTTAACAACAACAGTGGCAGTTCCTCTTAGGCTTGGTACACCTTTATCAGCTGCTGCGACCAGAAATTGATAGTGATCTAATTGTTCACGGTCCAACTGGCTCATGACACGCACTTCTCCTGTATTAGGGTTAATTTCAAAGAGCCCCTCAGGAACTGATCCACCAGTGATGCTGTATGTCAACTCTGCATTAGTCCCACTGTCGGCGTCTGTGGCTACCACATCCAGAACCTTGTCACCTGGCTGGTTCTCCTCAAAAAATTCTACCTCATACAAAGTAGGCGAGAACACTGGGGCATTGTCATTCATGTCTGTCACTTGCACCTTCAGAGAATTAGTGCTGGATAGTGCAGGGTTGCCAGAGTCCACTGCTACAATTTCAATCCTATACTCTTTGATCCGTTCATAGTCCAGTAGCGTGGTCGTCTGGAGGAAGTACTTCCTTTTGCGGTCATTGCCTGTTTCACTTGCTGAGCGTAGCTGGAACGGGACATCCCCAGCAACCACACAGGTAACAACTGCATTTTCGCCCTCATCACGATCTGATACCTCCACCAAAGCCACAGCTGTGCCAACAGGCATGTCCTCTGATATGTTAGCGACACCATCTTCATGCGTTACAAGGCCAATGCCTCGGATTCTAATGGAGGGTGCGTTGTCATTCTGATCTTTCACTGTGATAGTCACAAGGGCTTTGGAGCTCTTTGACTGAGGACCGTTGTCTTTAGCTTGGACGTAGAACTTGAGAATGCTGATTTCTTCACGATCTACTGAGCCTTTGACAAAAATGATGCCTGTGTTGCGGTCAATGCTTAGAAGTCTCATCACTGGTGATGATGGCTGATGGAGGCTGTAGGTAACCTCACCATTGGGTCCCATGTCAGAGTCATTGGCCTTCACCTAAAACAACAAAATTCAAAATTAAACTAGGCAAAGCACAAACACATCATGACAAAAAAGGTTCCATAAAGTTAATTAACAAACTATATAAGTCACAGGTTTACACATCAATGGCCACACATGGTTTAAATTATTATTATGTAGCACTAGAAATTGACTATTATTAATGCAAGCAATAATATATATGCATGTGAAAAAATATATGCTTTATAAACTGAAAAAAGACCTAAATGCACTAGTTTGTACTAACTCTTATACTTGCTGAATATTGCAAGAATTTAAAACAGTACATTTCATTTGATTGCAAAAAATGGCATTCACCTTAACAGCATAACATATAATGTATTATTATTCAATATATGATACAACGAACATTGACTCTGAAGAGTTAAATATGATTAGGTTGTCTAGTATGCAAGTCAAGTTGTGCAAAATTATCGGTAGTTTGCTAGATTAAGTCAAATTGAGACATCACTTAAGTTACTCAGTCTTGGCACAGATTTCTAGAATTCTGGTCTATCGTGAGCCAGGGAACAATTTTAAACAGCTCTAAATCGAAGTGCAGCTTGATTAAAGCTTTCAAACAATCAAGATTCCCTTGTTCCTGCAACATCCTCTCCTCTTTTCGTCCTTGGCTGTGTATGAAACACGCATGGTGTTTCAGCCCATGAATTACAGAGAGAAGCCTTAATCTGAGGCAGTCATAAGATTATTCATGGTGCTTAAGTTATTATTGCTCTATATGAGTCACTCCATTTCATCCGCCATGCAAACTGGGAATTCATTTCATTTAATGTATTTGAAGAGCATTTCTCTGAACAAGCTGAAACACTCCATCAACACTTACAACCCTCTGAAATCATAAAATTAAGCTGTTTTAATACCACTACTGCTTATTTACTTCGGCTTCAAAGGATGCTTATGAGGACTGAGAGGGAAATAAAGTCTTCTGACATGCTCTTTGAATACAACTTGGTTGCATGGATTAATTGTTGACTGAAAGATTAACAGTCATTAAAACATTTCTTCTTTTTTTTTTTTTTGCCTGGACACTCGTGTCAGATTGATCTTGGAAAGCTTCCAGCCTTCGCAGCCATCCTAATCATAGCAGCGATTTCGTTTCCACAACAATTCAACATGTAATTCTCACCGCCAGTCAATACCTCTCTCCTGTTTGTAAAGCTTGTGTTTAAAGGGACCATGAGGGATCAATCGATTGCCCGTGAAAATATGATTTGGCTTTCCCATTTCTTCCGCTTCAACCCTGTTGTGTGGGAACCGAGGCTAAAGCCCATTGGGATAACAGAGACTTCCATTTACAACAGCTTGTCAAGCTTTGTACATGGGGCTTGAGTGCACTTCTATTGCCAGGCTGTCAAATCAGCTCCACTATTACTTAACGTCCAATCTGAAGGTTTAGCATAATGCATACTTGCTTACAGATGTTTTAAGCTTATAGGAGAGGAAAATGTACGTTTATTCCTCTATATTAAAGCAAATATTTATATTCACAGTCATTAAGATAATTTAAATGTGTAATGGAAATCAAATATACTGAAAAAAGCACTTACTTGAAGGACAGAATGACCCACTGGGCTGTTTTCTGGCAGCTCACCCTCGTAGTGTGACCTCTCAAACTTGGGGACATTGTCATTAGCATCTGTTATGGTGATCCTGAGGAGGGCGCTACTCTGGCGGGGTGGAGAGCCGCCGTCAACCACTTTTATATTGAGGTCGTATGAATCTCGCAGTTCTCTATCCAGGTTACCCAATACAATGAGTTGCGGTAATTTCTCGTCAGAGTCTTGTGCCACCTGCAGGCTAAAAAGGTTGGTAGCTTCAGGGCCGGTGGTTAGCGCATAATCAGCAATGCCATTGCTTCCAGAATCCCTGTCCGTGGCTACAGGAATTGCAAAAAGTGCACCCACGTGAGTGTTTTCTGGGATCGACAATGTCAAGACGGGTGAGGAGAATTGTGGAGTGTTGTCGTTCTCATCCAAGATCTCAATGCGGCCTTCAATAAGCCGAGGTCCTGTGCCTTTCATCAGGTCTGTAATAGACACCTCAAATTCTAGGAAACAAGGATCGCCCTCGAAAAGGTTGCGACAGTCTTTAAGAGACTCCCGATCGATAGAGTTCTCCGTGGTGTAGATATCCCCGGTTTTGCCATCCACGCGGAGGTAAGGAGCACCAACCTCCAGCTTGTAAAGGTGACCTGTGTCTGGCAGGCCCTGGTCAGATGCCAAGCTGCCAATCAGGGTGTTGGGCGGCTGCTCCTCGGTCACCTGGTAGAGAATGGTGTTGACTACATTTGCAGAGCAGCAGAGGAGAAGCAAAATCCACACTAGCATGGCACTCCACCGTGACCACATCGCATTGGCACTCTGGCACATCGTCAGTCTGTTGCTGCAAAAGATCAAGCAAACAAACAAATGCGATTAGAGAAACATTCATTCCTCAGACACAATCCTTCAAAGTCTCTGACAGTGCCAAGAAGCCCGTAAACGATGGCAGCCACAGAGTTTTATGGTACTGATTCCCTGGGATTTATGATTGATCGCCCCTTCATGTGTTGTAAACCTCTCCTTTTTAGAGGCAGTAAATGTGTCACAAACAGTTACTTGTGTTTGACCTTCATTCTGCAAACTTCATGTCATGTCTAATTCATAAAGACAACATATGTCAGTGTTCCTAAGAGATGCATTGGCTGGCTGACCCTAAGAGAGGAGGAAGATAGCAGACAACTGATGCCCATTGAAATGATATTTGTTTTTGCTCTACTTGATCTACCGTTTCCAAGCTATTGATAAACTGTCTTGATGTTCATTTTCAGAATCGTGCCTGGGGTCAGCAAAAGGGTAAAATCCATCAAAATCAGCCTAAATGTTTGTTTTTCTTTTCTCCATAACTGTTTGCAGTTTTTTTTTTTTTATTTATTTAAAAGAAACTATATTTAAAATCCCAGTGAATTTTTTTTAAAAGTGTATTAAAATTAAAATGTATTTATTTATCCCATTCTAATGTTTCTCATAACAAGTCAGACAAAATGGGACCACAGAAAAAAAGAGTGAAATATAAACCAAAAGCATGGTTTCTTAAAAGCAGTTTCACGTGTGAATCTTCCCTTTCCTGTTTGACTCTTTAGGTTATTGAACACATGGTGGAAGAGTATGGTTTTCTAATCTTCCAATGGCCACTTCAGCTGATAGCTATTCGCAGCAAATGGCTCCCAATTTGTGGAAACATCACACTGCCACAGGGAGTGTAATAGACAGGGCTATAGAGGGTGTCTTGACAACAGCCCCCTCCTGCCACTTCACCAAATATTAACAGCCTCAGCATGAGGTACTGTGAAAGAACATTAAAAAAAACCCCAATCAAATAAATAAATAAATCTGATTTCGTTTAATCCCTCACGTTTAAGGTCATGTTACTTTGATGTTTACCGCTGTGGTAATTGCAGACCCCTCTAACATATGTGGAATGTTATCCCACCATGCTCCCCATGGCTAATGAGGCACGGCTCTAGATTACTGTCCAGAGGAGACAGACACCTCGACTCGACCCAGTGGTGAACCAATGGGGGGTGTGTGAGTGTTGCCACTAGTTACATTCTGCCTGTGAATCCCAAACATTAAAGATCAAGAAATTTAAATATAACCTTACATATTATTAGGGGAAAAATACTGATAAAATAAATAGACAGACAACTGACAGTAAGCAAAATGAAGTAGCCATTTGGTGACTAATAGGAAGTGGGATCTTCTACACTCTCATCAGTATTGATTGGTGGTAGTAGTTTAGTGCATGTACCATTCAATATTCTTCCATTAGCAAACGCATGACATAGTGCGCCTCTCACAAACACATTACAAAATAAATAAATAAATAAATGTGGTTAGAGGGAAAAAAAAGGCTAACTTTATTGTTACAAATGTGTAATCTCACACACTCACCTATACATGGAAAAACTGTTTTAATTTAGACAAATTAGACACCAGCGAATATGAATCCAGTCACACAACTGCAGCCACAAGGCACTGATGCTGTAGGGAGAACAATGCACTAATGAGGCTGAAATGAAGGGTGGGATGTGTGACCCTGATCACACGTGTGATGAGAACTTGACTCGTTTCTTACTAATTTCGCAGTCTAATTCTGAATCTGTCGAGACAGATGACTATGGCACACTTTTCATGCGGCTAATTAAACAGTGCAGAATGCAAAAGGGGTTGGAGAGGTGAAAAATGCCTCAACTCTAAAGCAGCGCACCCCTCATTGGGATCTCGAACAACCATCTCATAGAGAAGGCATTTCACAGAGATGCGTCGGCTCTCAGATGAAGGTGTGTGTTGAATTTTGTACCATGTGTTGATAAAAAAGGTCAAAGTGAAAAAGCTAAATGGAAACCTCAAATGAATGGGGTAAAGGATTAACCGGGTTAGCTAACAAGCTATTTGTTTAGACAAAAAAAACAAACAAAAAAAAAGATCAAGATATGAACCAATCCGAAACATCCCATCTTTATCATGCGTTAGAAAAGTCAACAAGTCTCAAGAACATTCTCGCAACATGAAAAGCGTGTGAATCTGTTTGTTGCGATGAAGGGTTTAAGAAGCTCCCACGACATTCACTCTCTCAAGGGCCCAGCGTAAAGAGTTTGTGTTAAAGGGTCACTGTACACTGGGAACCCAAATGTGGGCTGTGGACATCCTTTCCCACACTCTTCTGTGAATGTGCGTGTGCGCCCATACGTATGCACCGTATGTCAGTGGGTGTGTAAAACTTACACACAAGAACTAAAAACAACCACAGCAAAGGAATGTCAGTATGTGTTTGCGAGCAGATACTCGGGCAAATGGAAAATCTCAGGCAAAAAAAAAAACATGAAGGTCACAAGAGCAAGAAACACAACCAAATGTGTTTGAGTATATGAAAAATAAGGGGGGCAAAAGCTTGAGCTTGTGGTGAAGAACTCTCCTTTGAAATGGAAATGTGTAAGTGCATATGAGTGGCGTGCCTTAACGACAGCAACATTTACAAGACACAGGAGGCCTTAACAGAGTCAAATCAAGCACTGCTACCAAGCAGACAGATTTCCTTTCAGTTGTAGAGAGTTAGCACTTAGCCTTCACACAGGTACACAATAAGCCCAGCCATTACAATGACAATGGGCCGTCGGTGGGGCTTTTCTTCACCTCCGAGCTTTGATCGTCATCATTACATGGTCAGAAAGGCGGTTTATGACAGGCCCTAAATCAACACACACCGTCCACCTCTCTAATAATGTCTTCAAATACAGCATGGTCGAGCCACAGCTAAGATCTCCTCACAGGGAGACAGGCGTCGCCAGAGTGCTGTATTTATGACTACTGTCATAATCCTGAGAGAATTTATGCTCAGCTCTCGGGCTGTGTAGCCTAATTCATCTCGTACTGCTGTGTATAAGCTGGATGTCATTAATACAATCAATAGCTGTGAGCGAAGGGGAAGGTTTGAATCGCCTTTCCCCCTGTGGAATCTCCCCATCGGTTCTAGCGAATTATTCACAGTACATTTGGCCAGAACTTTCGCGCCAGCCTTTGGGGGAATATGGTTCCCCTCTCATTTCCTGTCCGCAAAAAACACATTATGTTCATTTCACACCTGATCTCTTGTAACAGCACCTCCTACATCTCTCTGTCTTTCTCTTTCATGAGCACACCATCTTTTTGTACCCCCCCATGCCCTCTCAGAGATGCGCTCATATATATACTGTCGAGAAGGCCATTGTGTTGTTGCGCAGGGGGAGGTTAACAGATTTAACGGGCTAATTACTATTCTAAAGCCTCCCCCGCTGACATGCTTTAAAATTGCTGTATGATTTTCTCTCTCCCTCACTTTTACCGTCTCGCTCTCCTTCTTTCTCCTTTAGAGACTTGTAACGAGGAATTCATCATTGTACCAATGCTCACCATTTCTCTGCCAGCAAAAAAAAACCCATGGGAATATGAGGATGGCATAACTCTGCCAAGACACCCCCCCCAGGTGGCATCCAGCTCAGCGTGAAACTACAAGGTGATTCTAGGGAAAATAAAGCCATTAAAGCATTTACGTAACCGTCATGGCAGGAGTCAGATTCCTGGACGAGGCACAGTGGTGCCACTGCGTCATGGTAACACATCGAGTCAATGATTGTTCTAACCCCTCCCCATCACGGTTTCAATGTGATAATTAAAGAATTAAATTAAAGCACTGACATTTATGAGGGTTCAGGAGTCAGCTCTTGTCTGAAGCTAGGAGAATGATTGACTCAGAAGCAACTGTGAGAACAGCATCTGTCCAAGGTTAATGGTTAACTCATCCGGCTCAACTGACATTTTAGTACGCACCTGAAGTTTCTTTGAAAAAAATACATCAGAAGAATTATTTGCTTGGTACTACACAAGATGAGTCCATAGTCTCACTGAGTAATGTTGCCAATTAATCAGCAAGGAAATAAAAAGAGTGTGTACTGACCTCGTGAAAATAAAACATTCTTATTCACTCTGAGTCAACTATCTGAGACCAGATAAATGAGCTAAAATAAAATACAATCACAGGCGACGAACGCTAACCAGCCTCATCTGAAATATTCAAGACTGACCAGCACTCACAGCTACTGACTTGAGCTCACATGAGCTTTTGTCCTCGGCTGCAGCCATCCAAGCTCTATGGGCCACCAGCTCCACAACGCTCAGTGACCCGTTCAGGATGGGTGGTCCAAGTCCCCCACCCCTCCCCAGCCAAGTGCGAGGCACAGAGGATTACTTTAATTATTTCATTCAGCCATTGTGGGGCCAGATTAGTCTGCGCCCGCTTTCAGACGAGATGAACTGCTGCCCCGCTGCTGTCTACCAGGCTGTTACACAGAGAGAGCTGGCCAGTCACAAGGCTGGCACACAAACTCTCACACGCCATTACACACGGCTAAACACACACACATACACACTGATAGAAAAAAAAAGAGAGGACTGCTGTTAATATCATGGGTTAAAAAGACAACATTGAAATGGATCAAGGGAAATAGCCACTGTTAAAGTGGCAGGATAATGAAAGGCAGTAAATCTCAATACTAGGTGATTATTTTTACTGGGTACGCTTGTTATATGTTTTGACAAAGACACATACATGAAGAATATAATAAGATAATTCAATTTTCTATTGAACAACATGAAACAATCGCTAAATTTTAGGTCTCACCATCGCAAGGGGCACATTATTGGCTTCTTAACTACAACAGTGTGAAGCTGTCAATTTTACATATCATTTCTAATAAGACCAATTATAGCATTTACAACAGGGCACTTGGAAGTGACATATATAGTTAAAAGTTAATTTAAGCACAAAGAAAACACAAGTGTGTGGAAACTTTGTGCTCATGTAAAGAGTCTAGTTTTCTATTATTTCAATGGGCTCTTAAACTCAATGTGTCTGTGTTTACGCCCCTTAGATTTACAAAGCGTGAAAGCCCGAAACGTGATAATTATTCACTGTCTCAACGTAGAATATTTACAGAAGGCTAAGTTGAAGTTGACTGAGCACACACGTCAAAAAATAAACTAAGTTTAGCAAAACAGAAATGTTGTCAGGTAGCATATGGTATAATAGAACGATACTATAGCCAAACAAAACAATACTATTTCGGATTTGTCAGCGTACCGTCCGAAGCCTCAGCGGTGTGCTGTTGCTATGGTTTCCTCTTCAGACAAGCGCGATTTCCGTTTGTGAACGACTGTTTACCAAGTTAAAACACGAGCCCTGACCAACTTACAACTTTTGTGCTAAGTAAAATTAGTTCATAAGTACAAGGAAAACACGTGGGAAGACCACAAGATTTTGTTTTCGACTTCGTTTAAGACTACAAGGCTTTATTATGGACCCAGCGTCCTATCCCATAATTCAAATCGAATCCACCTATAACCGTCCGCGTGAAGTGAGGAATATAGTTTCAGTGCATTGAAGAAACGAAGCAGTGAAAAAAACAAACAGAAATAACCTGTTTATAAGATCCGCAGATCAATAATCTACTGGAACAGCACTAGAATCTCACCCAAGTGCCGGAGAGCGCTTGTGCTGATGCCTGCAGAACACGATCTCGGGCAGAGAGGAAGGGAAATGACTTTTACCTGCGGATGAATGCGGTCCGAGTTTGACCAGATCATTTGCAAGCCATTCGGTACAAGTTTACATCCGCCTGAAAGCCTCGCCACAGAAAGAATCGAGATGTCCGATCGCAGATGGGCGGAATGAAGCCCCAAGGCTGCCAGTGTTTTCACACCTGTCTCTTTCAGACGGACCAGACAAACAGGTTTGAAAAGCAACCCGATGACGGGAGCGGCCAGAAAGACCGGATTCCGCTGTTATGACAGGCAATGCTTTTGATTGAGTGAGTTCCGAGCAAGGAAATTAGTGCGTTCTGCGAAATGTGACTTGTCGGCATTCTGCGGGTAAAATTAACCGCAGCATTTTGAAAATAGCGCACTCAGATGGAGAAGATATGCGCAAAAAACGAAAGCAACAGGTGTTGTTGGGGCAAGCAGCAACCAAATAAGGTATCAGGTTAAGGTTGCACTCATAAAATCTCTCAAAAAGCCAATAAACACTATTTATTCGTTCTAACTAATAAGCACTTCTTATACGCCCTCACAATTTTATTCAAATAAGGGCAGTTTTTGTGTGAGGGTTTCAGGTCAGTGGTTTATTCATCGTTAATGGACAGACGTTCTCGAGGGCACGAGAAAGAGTTTTGAAGATCACATATAGAGAGAGAGGAATCGATTAAAATCCGCGAAGCTCCACTGACCAGCACTTGAGCTTGATGAAGATGCTTCATGTGGATCTATGGGTCAAGGGTTTATTTTCTATAGGCTATGTGGAAAAATAAGAGCAAGCGTATATTGACCACTCGAGCGCTCGGTTTCTTTTAGAAAAATCAATAGCAGTAGTGTAGGGAAAACATGTCACATGCGAGCTAATCAGCTCTGAGGACAATCGGGGGCGATGTTAACTTGAGATATCGATAAATTCGGGCTACTCAGAGTGAGGCGTGCAGCGCTTAGTTATTTGCTCCGTGAAGAGGAACAAACGAACAATCAAATAAGCACACCACATCGTTACAGTACATCGAGTGGTGATATATTTCCACCAGTTTTGATTTATACAGATGCACTGTAACACATTTCTACAATGAAAAGTCAATCTTAATAGTTCCTCATTGCATGTTATGGACATGCAAAATTGTAAATATAAAACAATCTCATTATACCTTAGCGGATAGTTGCTCCTCTTAGTCTTGACTGATAGAGTCGGTCTGAAAGCCGCTTTCCTTTTCCACACTACAAATAAAGCGCTTGGGTATCCAAAATTCAGCACCACCGCAATCCTGTCGATACAAAAAAGCACCCTTTTCCGCTGTGAGCTCTCTTGTTTCTCATGAAAAATCCTCTTTTTAATACGAAGGGTACGCTAATATAGTCGCAAAAAGTGTCACGTCAGAAAATAAGAGCGCGCAACTTGGGTTACGCACATCAGAGAGATGTGTCCTCTCCTTGCGCACGGAAGGAAACCCCGAACCAGCGCTACTCCGGACCGGACTCACAGCATCCCGAAACCTCCAATTCCACACGACAACATCCTCCAAAACTTCAGCCTTCAGTCCACAACTGTCTGTGCGTAAAAGTGAAAACAGAAAAATCTTCCAAGGCTATGTCCGATAGTGTCCAGTGCGCGTGCTCTCATCGTCAGTTCAGCATTGAGAGTTACCGAGGACGCCGGGGCTCGCGCTCTTGCCGCAGCTCACCGCGCGCGTCTATACTGTGGAAAGCCTATGTGAGAGTGAAGTGATTTCCGACCGATTGCGCTCTCGCTCTCCCCCTCTCTCGCTCGCTCAGTCCCTCACACAAGAACATCATTTTGAATCGTCGAGGGCGGAGCTTTGAGACGTGCTCGTGTGGACTCCATACAACAAAACCTCTTTCGTATTTACCCAAACATTAACAAGTGCTAGTGTTGCCATATCCGCCTATTATAAGCGACAAGGGATGATTTGTCATAAAAAAGGCGTATAAAAATGTGCTTTCGTAGCTAATGCATTGGAGGCTCCAGAACAGAGTAGCTTTTAGTTTAAAGTGAGACCACTTGACAAAATTCTACATTTACACGTGGAATTACGCACACTGCCTCTATAAGCAAATGAGTATGATGTGCAAAAAACAGGTGAGCAACACCTAAATGACGGCTGTTTTTAGGTCATAATAAAGAAAGCAATTCTGAATGCTTAATTTGTACTTGTTTAGCAACACACAAAAACAATTAATGTCATGTAGACAATGTTAGCAGTACGCAGAGGATAACTTTGAGCTTGCCAATGTTTGACCAATATCAGAGATATTGAAAAATGAATTGGACTGGATTGCATCCACAGTGTAAATTGTTAAAAGTCATAAACTCTGCATATAGACCTATTACTAAATAACGTGTTAATGTAATGCGATAACCAGAAGGAATTGGGTTTTAGAAAAACAATGTTAAAAGCACAATGATCTCTTATAAAGTTCTGATTCTGTCAAAATAAACAGTTGGTATAGTTTTACAGCTATCAGAACATAAAAAAAACCTAGCAGCTCTTAGAATGTTCTTTTTTTTTGGTGTTATCTAGCATTTTTACGTAAATTGCACGAGCTTATTTAACAATTTAACTAAAAAAAAAAAAAAAAATCAGAAACAAGCAAACTGCTTAGATACACCAAAATCACACCAGGTGTAAACAGGAACGCCCTCTTCAGACCAAAATGCATTTTAATACCAGGTGAATAATAAACAGGGCCTCGGAAAGTAGTTCTGTGTGCTATGTATTAAATAGTAGCTACGTGTTTGGCAACAGCCAATGTAAATTATGTTTATGGCTGTTGCTGGTATACACTAGGTCAAAGAACATAGGGGTCAAAGAACACTGGAAACTTGCTGATTGCAGTGTGCAGTGTATTTATACTACACACACAATGTGCTTCATCAACAGTCAGGCGAAGTTCTAACATCGGTGAACCCGAGGGATTTATCTACTGAGTTATATGTATGATTGACTATGCAAAACACTTAACTATTGCAATCATTTAGTTAAAAGACCACTACCTTGTTTTTATGGTTATGAAAGACAGTGACTCTAGCTTGATTATATATATTTTTTTGTGATTTGGCAACACCGAGGCATACCTCTGAGACTCTAGACAGGAAAATAAATAAATAAAAGCCTTTGGGATGTCTCACGAAATAACACTATAGTATTTCCATTCCATTTTCAACCTCATCACGCTGCACGCGCATCCGTGTTTGGTGCAGGTGCAAGCTTCCTCACACCACGTATCTGCAATACACTTTTATGACCAATAAAAACGAGTACTAACATAAAGACTACGATTTAAAAAGCACACAAGACGTTACCGTTTTCATTACGTTATGAAAGGACACATGTGTATCACTCACAGACTCCAAACGAAAATTCACAATCACCTCACACGACAGTTTCGATTGCTGGCACGACTGAGTCATCGAAATGTCTCGATTCAGTGCGGGTTTCAATCACTCGCTACTTTGTGTAAAAAAGGATCAGCTGCATCAACACACCATGTGAAACGATATTAAGTAGTTTATCACGCTGTCATGAGGGCACTAAGTAGAAGGGAGAGGGAGAGAGAAAAATCCCTGATCCATAAACGCCACTGTAACAGAAATGCAGCAGGAAATGTTCATTGTGCTCTTAGCGGCATCTAGAGGTCACAAGTAGAATACTTATTACACAAACTAACGCACGTAACCCAATACACGATGTGCAGGAGATAAATTGAAGTAAGGGTGCTTACCTTTGTACTTTTTTGTTCTTTCACAGACAGCTAAGCAATTTCGCCATCTGGTTGCATCATCTATGTAGGTTTCTGGTTGCACAGATGCTGAAATGCAGAAAAACAGAACTATACGGAATTATTTAGAGGGCAGTTTAGAGGAGGCAACAAACATTTTATATGTACTACTTTTATCTTTTTCATTAATGATCGTCAAAAACATACCCGCGAAGCTCTGTTTTGTATATCAATCTTGGCAGGAATTGCTCAAAGTGTTGGAGCAAATTTTAATTAAGCACCTCATATTTATTTACTTCAAATATTATAATTTGGATGTCTACAGAAAACTGTGTATACTACTACTACTACTACTACTACTACTACTACTACTACTACTACTAATAATAATAATAATAATAATAATAATAATAATAATTATTATTATTATTATTATTATTATTATTATTATTATTATATTTGCGACTATTTGAAAAAAAAAAAGAAATTCGAGGGTTCAAATAAAATATAAGCATTCACAAAATGTCTTAATGGAAGATGATTATTACTTAATATTCTGATTAATTCTAGCATAAAAAAAATCTAAAGTTAAGAAAAAGAAAAGCTTTTTAACCCAAAAGTTGTATAATCATTCATTCAATGTATTTTTTGGCTATTAGGCAAAATATACCTGTGCAACTTTAAACTGGTTTAGTCACATTTTGTTCCTGTGTGTTAAAAAAAGAAGGGAGAGAAAGAGAGAGATAGGGTCCATAAAAAATTAATTCCATTTCACATTTAATTTAATTCCAAATTAAATGGGACAAATTCAAAATTACAATTATTATTACATGCAAAAAGCATGAAGTAGACAAAATCAGCTTTTTTTATATTTTAACTTAAAATAAATATTTACACAATCCCTTTCAGTCTGCAGTGCCCTTTTTGTTACTCTCTCTTCTTAAGTTGCATCTAAACTCATATTTAGACATATACTGACTTTCTTTTCAGCTTAGTCCCTTATTAATCTGGGGTCCCCATAGCGGAATGAACCGCCAACTCATCCAGCATGTTTTACGCAGCGGATGCCCTTCCAGCTGCAACCCATCTCTGGGAAACATCCATACACACTCATTCACACAAATACACAACGAACAATTTAGCCATGTCTTTGGACTGAGGGGGAAACCGGAGCACCTGGAGGAAACCCATCCGAATACTTGGAGAACATGCAAACTCCACACAGAAACGGCAACTGATTCAGCTGAGGCTAGAACCAGCAATCTTCTTACTGTGAGGCAACAGCAGTACCTACTGTACCACCGCGTCGCCCTTTAGACATATATGCAGACCATAAAAAAGCTTGGTTTCCAATATTCTTCAAAATATATTTAATTTTGTATTCTGGAAATTACACAGACAACACCAATGTGAGTAAAAGAGATTACACGATTTTCATTTTTATAATTATTTTATATTTTATTGACCATATTTGTTTATATGAGGATTTCAAATGACTTTGTTTACTGAAATAAACCTCTAAATGAAAACTGGCTGTTGGTGGCATAAATGCCTAATGAGCAAGTCCTTGACTCATTTACAGTATTCATTTGACTAGTTCAAATAACCGATTCATTCAGAAATATAGTTAACAGCTTACATTGAAAAAAAAAAATCTAAATATGTGGTTCATGTTTACTGGACTGCATCAAAAGTCTTGCTTTTGTGATATTGATATGACATAGAGTGTACTCACACTAGGCTATTTAAATAATGCACAGAACAGTTGGTCTGTCCTGGCCCAGTTGGATAAGGTGGTTTAGAGCGTGTTTCGGTTGGACTCGGGCATTCTATGCTTGTAGTATGAATGCAAAGAAAGACTGAAGTTGAAATGTCATGTTTAATTTCATATGGATTTATTACTCATTTGTACTTTCCATTAAACACAAACTGTAAGTTTATCAAAGATGCTTGCACTTCAGTTGCCAACTTCATCAAACCTTCTAATACTGCAACACAATTAGTTTTTCTAAAATAGTTTTTTGAGCGTCAAAAGCAGTGGATCTGTTTATTCGTATGTCAAATGACTCAAAATAATGCAAAACAATACAACTGAGCAAGAGTGCTTTTCTTTCTGTTAAATTGAACAGACGCATTATTGATGATGTGAGCATGCTTAGGCTCGGAAGGTAAAAATGCAGTGTAAGTGTGGGTCATCAACGGAGTGGGGATCTTGCCCAGGCTTGGTTCAAAGCCACCTTTCCAGGTGTGAGTACATTCAAAAACTCATTTGAGGCATTTATGCACCATGAATATAAAGGACATATAACTGTGTTCTAGCGGCTTCATCATGTTAGTCTTTACACTGCTTCATGTTCTTCACTAGTAAAATGAATGTAATGTGATATGCAAAAGTCCATAACTAATTCATTATATCAACTCTATAAACTTACAGCTAATGGTGGCCAGTGCTTGATAGAGTTGGCACATGTTGTTACTTTCTGTTTGGTTAAAGTGTTGCAGCCTGTTCCATTCTGAAGGGCTCATCCCTATATTCCAGGGGTCCCTAAACCCTGGGTTGTGTTGCTACAAGATCAAAAGAAAACAAAATTACTCTATTTGTAATCCTACATTATTGTTAGATACCCTTTAGGAACTATATCCATGTGTATACAGGAGCACACCAGATGCAAAGTGCTGTGTTGCGTCTTTCTAGAATTGGAACCATTGTTTTTATGGAGGTTATAAAACACAGAAAATAATGTAAAGACGGGCACCACACCACACTTATGCCGAGTTCAGACTGCATGATTTTCAAAGTTGTGTCACAGATGTTTTCACACTGCATGACTAGCTGGGCTAGCGTTTTGTCGCTGCTTTGTTTACACTGCAAGATGGATCGGGCCAGGGGCTTTCACATTGCATGACTTTACAATACAAAGAATCGCTGACAACTTTGTCAAAACTACATCTCACAACCAAAAACACGTAGTAAGTCTCTTGTTATTAACTACATAACGAGAAAGAAGCCTTTGGGGTAGAAAATGTACATATTTTCTCACCTGGGTTTGAAGGGAATTAGCAATTTCTCCTCAACTTTCTTTTTTGACCCAGTTGTGATACTGCTCACATGACACGTCAAACAGACAC